CTCAGCCTCCCGGGTAGCTGGGACTACAGGCATGCGCCACCATGCCCGGCTAATTTTTTTATATATATATATCAGTTGGCCAATTAATTTCTTTCTATTTATAGTAGAGACGGGGTCTCGCTCTTGCTCAGGCTGGTTTTGAACTCCTGACCTTGAGCAATCCGCCCGCCTCCGCCTCCCAAGAGCTAGGATTACAGGCGTGAGCCACAGCGCCCGGCTTCTATTATATTTCATCTCACCATTTTTATCCCATCTTTCTAGCCTGTCAAGATGCTTTTGAAGTGTTGTTTATCACCCGGTGTATTAAACCACCCCTCTCGGCTTTCTGTCATTTGCAAACTTAATAAACCTGCTATTTGTGTCTTTGTTGGAGGCATTGATAGAAATGTTGAAAAAGACATGAGCGAACAAAGGACCCTGCATCAGACTTCAAATTATATTTCCCTTCCTTGATTTAAAGATTTCTTGAGAGACTATTAAATCAGTTGCTGAAAACCAGATACATAAATCTATGACCTCACTCAGCTGGTATGTGATAAAAGGTGGATGTAACTAGGTCCGGTGAAATGTCTACTTCGTGACCCTTTGCTGATTGTGAGTGATCCTGAGTTCCTTCGAGAAGGGTGCAGACTTCTGCAAGAATTCATTCTAAAATTTTGCTGTTGGTTAACAGTGATCACATTTTTATTTCTAGAATATATTTCCCCCAGCCCCTTTATAAAGGTCACCCTTGTTCTTGATTAAGTAGCCTTTCTTCCCTCCTTTTGATGCATGATTTTCAAAGCAGTGCTCATCAAAGAGCTCAGTGTGGAGTCATATTGTGTATTTAGAGCCATCTTCTTTTCCTCCTTCTAGGGGATCAGCTTCCGATTAGTAGCTGACCAAGCAAAGCAACAACTTGGGGGCATCAGTCTCCAGGGGGTGTCAAAACCTGGCTGGAGTATATGCGGTATCTGTTGCAAGTTCAATACTGCATGTCTGCACAGAGGGATGTTTACACAGCTGGGGAATGCAAATGGGCTGTCTCTCGATGAAGTATATATGCCACTTTCAAAGGGAAATTTAAAAATGCTCCTCCCCACCCTGCCCCTACCAAACGATCAAATATCAAAGGACTCCTGGCTTGAAGGGGGGGCCCTCGATCAGCTACCCCAGGTACCCGCACCTCTTTTTTGTGTCCTCACTGACTCCTTCGATCATATGAATAGAATTTTATCTACAAAGTGTTCAATCCCTTGCTTGCTTCTTCCTCATTCAGGAAGATGCAGGTGTTGCCGGAAGCCAAGCGTAGGTCTTGGTGTCTCACGTGCTGTTCAAATCCCAGCGTCACCGTCGACTAGCTGGGTTGCTTTAAGCCAGTGGTTCTTAACTGGTGGGGATTTCGCCTTCCTGGGGGACATCTGGCAACGTCTGGAGAGGTTTTTGATTGTTACAACTGGGATGTGCTACATGTATCTAGTAGCCAGGGATGCTGATAAACATCCTACAATGCACAGGAAGACCCCATAACAAAGACATTTCTCACTCACAATATCGATAGCGCCGCTTTTGGGAAACCGTGCTTTGAGGACAACACCGAACCGTTCTGAGCCTTGGTATCTTCCTCGTTACAATGCGGGTGACAAGGGTCTGGCATGGTGTGTGGGGACATAGACAGTGCTGTACTTACACTATACAGTGTAATGACTGGCACATAGCCAGCATCAAATCCGGTAATTGCTCTCATTGTTTATGTATCAGGCATTGCATGGGACACTTCTTAAGATGTTATTAGCTTAATACTGAAAAAGTAGTTTGCTCCACAAATATTTTTTTTGAGCACTTTCTATATACTAGGCACTGATCTGGCTGCTGCAAATAGATCAGTTAAAAAAGAAAGCAGTCTCCGCCCTCACAGAGCTAATAACCTGCAAGTTGGCATCTGTGTTCCCATTTTGCAAGCGAGAGAAGCCAGGCTCTGAGAGGTTGAAGTGCCAAAGTCACAGGCCCAGGGTCTCAATGCTAACAGAGGCGGGCCCGGATTCAAGTCTCACCAGCTCTGCCTGATTCCAAAGCCCGCATGCTTTCTACTCCGTTATTGCCAGACCCCTGCTTTGGGAAAAGCCAGGTTGGGAGCCACATGAGGATAGCAGATCTCGCCTCTGTGCTGATCCTATTGATTATGTCAGCATCATCGCCCACACCCTCTCACTCTGTGGTATACTTCTACAATGGGGCCTTTCTGTTGCTTTCCTATTTTACTCTTTATTATTTCAACAAATATTTATCGAACACTTGCTCCTTGTTAGGATACAGTGGAACTGTGAGATGCTACCTGGGTTTGCAGGGAGCGCACGGTCTAGCGGGGAAGGGGTCTGTCTCTGCTGGGAGTCAGGGCACTGCGGGTGCAGCGGCCCTCACCTACCCTTGTGTGCATGATGCCACCTAAACCTTGGGATCGTGGACTTCCTTACAGGTGCGTTCTTCCCTTAACCCATCACCATATGCACAGTTGACGTATGTGCACAGCACAATTTTCCTTTGCTGTGCAAAAAATTCTGGGTGTAACATTCATACATCAGAGGCTTATGTTATGCCTTTAGCTTGGTACAGATTTATAGCACAGTAAGTTCTCAGTTGTAGAGGATGTTGCCTTTATGACATTATTTGTTCATGACCTTGATAGTCCATGCCATGTTGCACATTGTAATTTGCACTGTAATGTGGATTTAGTCACATGACCTGAAATATTGATGAACCAAAGAGTGCTAATAATAGTGAGGGAACCTAGCAATCACCCAACGTTCCCATCAAAGCTTGACTTTGTGGGTTTTACAAAGTAATAAAGGTCATTGTTTCAGGACTTTAGGAATGCCAAAGGGTAGTATCTTTAGGCATATTATAGTATCATAGTGTAGAGTTTGTTTTGATGGAATCATTATGGCCCGGAAGCACCAGTTAACATTTAAATTATTCTTGACTGAATTGTAGGACTATATATGGCAGCATTTGGGCTACTCACCAACGTCTCAGGACGTGTGACTTACGAATGCCAAGGCCCTACTCCACTGAACAGCCAGTTTTACTTGCTAACTGATGGCATCATTCAACTTTCAATTGCATCTCTTCTTCTGCAGCTTGACCATGCACAACACGTTCTCCTGATCTATTAAAGACTATAGATTCTCATTAGAGAGACCAAGCTTCAAAACTCTGCTTGACTACATATTAGTTGACTAACCACTGTCCAAATAACCTCCCACTGCCTCAGTTTCCTCATCTGTAAAATGAGGATAATCATCATAGATCTTGTTTCTTTGGATCATTGTGACATTGGGTTGTCACATTTACACGTGTAATATGTAAAGCCATAAGTCTCCGCCTTCTATTCTTGTTCACGTACAATAAAAATGGTGATGAGATCTTTAAAATACAGCAACTATAAGAAATGTTGGTGAAAATTCAGATAAGGACATTGGGGTTAGGTAATCCAAAGCTAGAGTTGAGACCAGGCCTGGGTGCTGTTTTTAGGATGCAAGGGATTAAGTAGTAGCTATTTATCTGACCTTCCTAGGGCACAATATTTAAGGCAATTTTAGTCTTCATGATCAAGCAATTGCTTCATGATAAAGCAATTTTAGTCTTCATTCTTTCTCCAATTTCTCACTTTGATTGACCAGTTCCTTATCTCTACTGTCTTACTTCCTGGGCTTGTGGTCTTCCAGGGCTTTGCACATGGGCCTGCTTGCCTTTCTCACTCACCAACAGGACTGGTGTGTTCCTGGTTCTAAACCCAGAAATGTTTTTTTCTCTTGGCCACTTTCTGCCATGAAATATCGGCCTTATCCCTCAACCGGTCCACCTTAGCTCTTATATCTCCTGCCCAAATCATTCTCTCTGTCTTTCTCTTTTCATTTCTAAGTTAACCATGACAGGGATTATAGCACAGAAAAGGGCTACTGCCTGGGTTCACATCTTGGTTCTGCCACTTATTAGCTCGGTGGCCTTGGGCAAGTTATTCAGCCTCTTTGTGTTTCACTATTCCCATCTAAAAAGTGGGGAGAATAATTTCGATCACCTCATGCAATTGTTACGAAGATTAAATGGGCTAATATATCTGAAGTTCTTAAAATGCAGCCTGGCCTGGCGTAAATCTTACATAAGTGTCAAATATTATTTTTATTATAGCTTCATTCTTCATTTTCTGTGAACCTCCCACCTACATTTATAATGAGGGATTATTCACCATTAATGCTATTCTGATGCCACTACCCACTGGGCACACAGTGACCTCCCTCCCTGCCTGCACATTACGACTGTCTTACTATTTCCATTTTGGGCTCACTGTACACAGCCCCGTATTAAAACAAATTCCATTGGCTTCTTAGTAAACATTTGAAAATACTTAACCCATCATGTCTATATTTTAATCTAGATGGAGCTAATCCCCTACAGCGAACAGAAGAGCAAGGGTGACTCCTAAATTCACAATCACACGTGGGGAAGGTGCTCTCTCTCACACCTGTTGATTTCTACTGGCCTTTTCATTTGCAAACAGTGTCAGGGAGCTTCCCTGTGAGTAGAGGAAGAAAGAACCATGTTGATATGCTTAGACAAAGAAAAAGTTAAATTAAATACTGCTAGTAGGTAGAGGTAGGTCTTTGATAAATGCAATTTTACATCAAGAAGTCTGGAGCAGAGAGTTGGCTTCACTTGTGTTTGTAGTTTACACCACACACCAAATTTCACTGGTTCCAAACCACTGTTGACTTAGAAGCCCCCAGCACTACTCATACTGTGTTTCAAAGGTGAATTTGTAGCTTTAGAAGGATGATTTGCTAACACTTCTCTTGTGCATCACACAGAAAAACCACACAACTTTTCTTATACAGAGAAGATATTTGGGACTGACTCCCAAATTTACCTGGTAGTTTTAAAAGCAAAATTCACATTATGCAAGGCAATCCTTATATCAACTGTATTCCTAACACACATTGATATCCAAAGAGCCAAATTCTTACCTATAACTTTTCCCAGAAAGAGCGACTTGGGAGAGTTGAAGAGGGTATCAGATGAACCGGGCAGGTGGTAACTCACGGAAGGGTAATGATCGAGCTGCAGGAAGAAAATGAGACACATTTAGGAGTTTGTCACCGTCCTGCACCGAAGTCACATCCTCCCTGGGGGGATGACATCACTCTTTGAACCCTGGTTTCTGGATAACTCACTTCATCAGCACCGACTCTGAAATACCAGCCTGAGAAAACGGAAGCCTCTCTCTTCCTTCGCTGGGGTTATTTGAAAACAGCGGGAGCTTGGTAAGTGAAGAGGCTTTAGGAGTTGTTCTCCAGCTGAGGCACATTTTCTGTGGATGATGTACCTGCTGGATTAAGATCCTTGCTCATTTTAATGGAGTAAAATCTGCGTGATCCAAGCTCCTGTGTCAACCTCTGAGATGTAAAACGCCTCATCTATGGCAATGAATCTTAAGACTCCTCTCACTGAACCATTTTCTGCACCTTTTGGTACCATCTATCAGCTTACAGAGCAATATTGATCTTCTCACACTCGCGCACGCACTCATGTTAAATGCTGAGAGTCGAGGAAGGTGAATATACATAGTTTTCTTGCTTATCACGTGGCCACAGGTGGGGGTGTTAGAGCAGGGTGAGCTGGCAGCGGAGGGCGGGAAGGGGAGCAGGTGGACATAGGGTATAGATAGTGAGTGTTGGAGCCACGCATGTTTCTGATCACATTTCGCACGTACAAAGTGCAAACAGTGGGGTCACAGAATTGCAGGCCCTGTCTTGCCCTGTTGTGTCCCTACATGGCTTTTCCTACCTCGCATTCTCAGCCGTCTTTTTATAACCTGTCCGGCCTAGCTGTGTTTCTCCAACTGCGATATCTTAAGAGTTTTCTGGGCTTTTTTGTGTCCACCTGCAGACAAATCTTTTTTGTAACCATTCGTTTCTCTGAAGTGAGTTTAATACCTGCTAAGGTCAGCATGATGAAAGAAAACACTCTCCCCCACGGGCATTCTCATGGAACCACGTCGATTGTGCAAAGGAACGAGACAGGACAAGCAGCAACTTGTTGGAGGCAGCGGTGCAGATGCAGAGACTGAAACACTCCCGCGTCCTTGCTAACAACTGGCCTGTGATTAAGAAAAATTCAGCTGCGCCAAAGACACAGGAAGCTAGCTGTGCTTTCAGGAGGAGGGAGAGGAAGGCAGTTAAGAAAGAGCGCAGCGGAGTGCCGGAATCTTCCTCACCACGTTGAGAACCAGCTACTCTGATGAATCATCACTCATTGCTCATGACTGTCTGCAGCCGCATCTTCACGCCGCTTACTGGGGACTCAGAGAACATTGAACAATCAGGGCTAAGAGTCAAAGAGCAATACGTCTCAGGCACTTTTGAGAGTTCTGACCCGCAGAACCGGTACTGTAAGTTTTTGTGCATGAGTAGTATTGCTACAAAAGTCCAAAAAAAAAAAATATATATATATATATATATATATATATATCTGTTTAAGCAAACATTTGCATGTTTGGCTATCATTTTGAAAAGCTTTCTGTGATGTCAAATGCATCATTCACAAAACACTAATTCTGGCCAGAGAATCATAAATATTGAAAATCTCATATAGATATTTCTTTGGAGCAAAGGCTACTCAGTTTCTGCAGCTAGATATTAGCTAGTTGCTTTGGCGCCATCTGATGGTACACATGGGTAATTGCCGCTGCACCTCTATCCAGTTCTGTTGTCAAGATGCCAACGGTAACCAATAGTCTACCTGGCAACGCATGACGGTGATGATCTTTCCCGGCATGTATTTCGCATAATTTAAGAACTAAATTTATAACAAAACTCTATTTTGTTAAAGAATTTTTGAAATGGACACAAACAATGTCTGTTCATTATAGAAAAAAAAATGATATGGATTTGCAGGAAAAAAAGCCTGATGATAATTACTGTTAACTTTTTATGTATATTTGTTCAATCTTTTTTGAGACAGGGCCTTGCTCTGTCACCCTGGCTGGAGTGCAGTGGTGTCATCACAGCTCACAGCAACCTCAAACTCCTGGGCTCGAGTGATCTTCCTGCCTCAGCCTCCCCCGTAGCTGGGACTACAGGTACGCACCACCACACCTGGCTAATTTTATTTATTTATCAGTAGAGGCAGGGGTCTCAGTATGTTGCTCAGGCTGGTCTTGAACTCCTGGCCTCAAGTGATGCTCTCTGCCTTGGCCTTTGAAAGCAATTTTTTTTTCAATAAAAGATGGTATGGAACCCAACTAGCACATGGTTTTGTATTGTTTTAACAATGTATTATGAACCTCTTTTCGTGCCAATAAACATACAACTAAATCATCACTTGTCATGGACGACTCATATTCCATTTTATGAATATATAGTACACAGTCTTTAAGAAAAATCAAATTTCCATATTTAGACTTTTAGGTTTCTTGTGTCCTCAGGCCCACTTCAGTGCTGAGCTCAAGGCGGGCTCACTAAAAATGTGTTGACATTTGCCAATGCAAGCAGGAAAGCAGTGCACACAGGCGACATCAGTCCCAGGTGTGGTCTGCCCCACGCAGTGGATAAGTTACCTTTCTTTTCCTGAGCTGTCTCGATGGGTCCAGACCAGAGCCGACTTGGCTTCTTGGGCAGCTATCTTATGTTATTTGTGCTGAGCTCACCGTCAAATAAAATTCCGTGTTGATCTCTGTAAGTTTATCCCCCGATGGCTTGAACCAAAATGCTAAATTTCACATTTATTTATATGGAATTTTATTTCTTTTGTTTTGAGACACAATAAGGGCCTACTCAGAGGTTTCTGATTCCCAATTCTGTCATCTAGCATGCCAGTGATCTCGCCTGGTTTTGACTTTTCCAAGAGCTTAAATTAAACACTCCTACCCTTAGTGCATTAATAAAGCCATTAATTAAAAAGCACTGAACAGGAATCTAAATGGGCAGCGATGCATAATTCTGATCCAAACAGATCGGTTAGGAAAATGTTTTGTAACAATTAAAATGGAGACTATGACAAACGCTGAAGACCCACAGAAAACTTTTACTGTTCACAAGGATTAGGCTCCGGAGCGTGAAGAAATCCTACAATAAAGCAGGGAAGGACGGAGCGCTAAGAGAGGGTCTGATAAACTTTTCCTTATCACCCGGGGATGAGAATCACCACGCTTCTGCACGCCTTCCCTTCCCATGCTCCTGCCTGCTTTGTGCCTGGGACAGAGGGCTGGGACCAGGCTAGGTGGCATCTGGGCAGGAGAGGAAGCAGCAGCTCGGAGGCTGACAGCTGACAGTCTGCCCGACATCGCCACTAGGTGGCGCTGTCTCCCTGCCGAACACAGAGAACTCAGCCCGGCAGCATCAGACAAGCACGCTCCGCGGCCGTGACCGTGACCGTGACCCCGCACAAGACCCCTCTGGCATTCCGCATGATACACCCACGTCCTGGTTTTCAGGACCTGAGAGTGTGTTACCTCGCGTGGCAAGGGGGACTTCGCAGACGTGACTGAGATGGGAGGTTGCCCTGCATTTCCCTGTGGGGCTCCTGTCCTCGCAAAGGGCCCTCCTGGGAGGGAGGCAGGGGGGAGGGCCAGGGCGAAGACAGGCTGGGGTGCTGCGAGGAGGGGCCGAGGAATGCAGGCGACTTCTAGAAGCTGCGAAGGGCCAGGAAACCGATTCTCCTCCCAGCGCCTCCAGAAGGAGCCAGCCTTTCTGAGTCCTGTCCCGTCAGCCGCCCACACTGATTCTGGACCTGCAAACTCCAGAACTGTAAGATAGCAAATTTGTGCTGTTTTAAGCCTCTAAGTCGGCGGCAATTTGTTACAGCAACGCTAGGAAACTAAGAGAAGACATAAAAAAAAAAAAAAAAAAGACCCCATGCAATAAAAAACCTGACCAGACGTCCGATTCTCCCAGTCATCTCTCTGATAACAACCTTAGTGTCCTCCAGGCGTCCTGCCTCCCAGGTGAACCTCGTCGAGACAGAGATGCAGTTACTGAACTGCCCCTCCTTTTCGGAGAGGCCCAGTGGAAAAGAGACCTCTGCTTCCTTTAAGCCTGATTCCCTAAAATCAGCCCTTCCTCTTACAAAAGAGGCACCCCCTGTTCTCCTAGGTGTACGGATCCCTTTGTGTCCATTATCCATTCCTTGCCCCCCTGGCTCCAAACGCGTCCTTCAGTGTTTGCTGTTTCTCTTTTGAAGCGAGCTCGTGTTAGGGGTCCCCAGTAGAGGCGCTGGGGGGACGCCGTGGGAGGGAGGAGGGGCTTCCTGCAACTTCCAGGCCAGCTCAGGAGGGGTACGCAGGCTCTGCCTAGGGTGTGAGGCCATCGGTGCAGCCTGCCCCAGCCACAGGCCAGCACGGACCCCTCTGTGGCCCTGCGGTCTTGGCCCTGACAACCTGTCCTCGGCCGCCTGGGCGTAGACACGGAGGCCGGGGCAGCGCCGCGCGGCCCACTGAGGCCCTGCGCCTGTCGCCTGCTCCGAAGCCGCCCGGCCGGACCAGAGGGCCCCTCTGCCTTCTGCTGGGCTCGGTCACACCGTCTCCAGCAAGGCCTTGAAGCGGGGGCAGAACACGGCACTCTCAAATACCCCGGGTTGGCAAAGTGACTATTTTGTGCTAAAGGCACTTGGAAAACGACAGATGCAAGAAGGGCCCTCTGACCTCGTGTTTTCCTCCCGAAAGCAGGAGAGGAAGCCCCCATATGGAAGATGCCGCCTCCCTCACCAGGAAGAAAAGAACATTCTGAGCACCAGCGATGAGAGATGAGGGAAATCTGTGCAAACACTGTTTTTTACAGTTAAAATAACCCTTATCTGCTTCTAGTCGCCCATATGATTTAGTTACTTTTCCACAATTACTATTCTTTGTTCAAACTATTATATAAGCACTTGGGCCTACCTGCTTTTTGGGTCTTCATTTCCCCGCGAAGGCTCCCAGGTACCTGCAAAATGTGCCTGGTTCCCCCCCCCCTTAGTCTCTTGGGACGGTTTAGTTCCCAGCCTGGGAGACCCTCAGAGGGTGAGGGGGGCGCCTGCTCTCCCCCAAGAAGCCTGAACCCCCCAGTTGCCCTGCCTGGACGTGC